AGACAACTTTGAGAACATATTGTCCAGAGTGGCTGTCCCGCGTTTCTTCTGCAATGTCGAGAGAAATGGGAGAGGAGTGGCGGTGTATGTTGGCCTAAAAGTCGGTCAGGCGACAAATCAGTTCGGTCACTTGCTTTGTCCGCATTGAAGTCCACAAAACTGCAACGAAAGCAGCAGAAGCTCCTTGGCCGAAGTCCCCTTACGTTGTGAAGAAAATTTTCTTCTTATTTTTTTTTCATTTTCTGATTCGGATAATTTGCTTGCACACACATTCAGTAATATTTTGATCATATGACGCATTTTCATCAAGATACATGTACATAATTTTCTGCATCCAAATTTTTGTTGACTCTCTGTTGGTGTTTTTTTTTTTTTCAATATCGAGCCTCTTATAATTTGTTACATAGTTGAAGTAGTTCTTGAGCATTTGTGTCTACACTTAGTCTATCTGAAGTGTCACTTTAAAAGCTGTAGTTTGAATGTCAAAGAAGTTAATTTCCAGGTTGCTGTTGACAAACTTATTGTTCATTTTTAATTTTTTTTTTTTCAATACAACACCGTAGTAAGTTTTTCTTTATTATTGAGTTGATGTATATGCCTTTGGCAAAGCTAACATCTGCCTTACCCTATTGCCTTTTCAAAACCAAAGGTGATGATACCTGTGACAGTAATAATACAGTACGAAATGTGTACATCAGCATGTGCCTCCTACAAATAAAGACTTGTTGTTTTTTTGATACACTGTGGTTAAATTCGTAATAATAGCTCCGTAGTCCTGTGGTTTTAGCAGCATTTTTTTGGCCGATTTTTTTTTTCGCCCTCTCGCATTAGTTTTGGGGTCTTCAGAGGATGTCATCCATAAAATTAAATCAGTGTGGCCTAACGTAGTATAATATAGACCGGGTCACTCAGGGTTGTTATCTCTCATTAGATAATACTACAAGCTGGAAATAGATGTATACTAATGTTATCACAAAAATCCCAGAAAATATGCTTTAAAGCATTATGACATTACATCAACCTCTACACATCGGTCGATTTGATTGTCGTACTGCTCTCGTTAACTCTGGTATTCTCCTAATAACCTCATAATATAATAATATAATTATTTGAAAATACGACATTTTCACGGAATTAAGGAACGAGGCAGCAGGCATTGCATTGTGGGAAAAACAAACGAAGATCGGCGCTGCATATCCTTCCATTGCACTGTGGGTTGCCATTTAAATCGGTCACTGAGTTTCAATCCCTGGCTACTTCCGTTACCATGATGCATTGGACACTAATTAAAGTCATAATGAGAGGCATGAGTATATTAACTGAAACATTAGTCAGACCTGTACCGTAACCCCCATGACCCCCACAGTGTACATTCTCTAACATATGTTCCCTTTTAACGTTTATTAATATAATAACCTGTCAATCGATAAAACGAGGTTATGAATTAATTATCGATACATACCCGTGACGTAGGTATTGTTCCTGGACGTATGGTTAACCTGTAATATATATTTGTTTAATATAGAATCCACATTACAGTATAACTTCTAGCCACTGTCAAAAATAACCTTGGAGAATTTAATAAATAAAAAAACTCCGACAGCTATGATGTTGTCATGGAAACAGAGTTGTACATGTGTATTTCATTTCCAGATATTATTCATAAACGTAACGTAACTTTCTTTCTTTCACGTAAACTACCAATCTGCATATACGAAAACCGTCGACATGGACAGAAATATAATGAGTTTTACGTTTGTTGTGTAAGTGCAATTATTTGACATATTTGGTAAATTAGGGTATGTACGGATTGGCTGTAACCCACAGACAAGATAATAATTCTTAAATAATCGTTCCCGAACACGGTGGTAGCGGTGATCGTCCCGCGGTATAAGTTGGGACCAACATAAAACATGATCAGTCACGGTGGCGGCGGCACCGAGAGGGGCAGAGGGGCCTCAAAAAATGTTGGAGGCGTCGCCCACCTAAAAATTAACTTTGAAGCTGAAACCCTTTGTGTCAGCAAAATTTGCCCCTCAAAATGTAGGAAATAGCGTTTCAGAAGGTCTAGATTTTAAATTTGTTTAGGGGGCAGCATGCCCCGGACCCCCTAGTAAGGTGATGGTGAGCAGACCCCCCTCGCCATGCACAGTAGCACTTCTATGAGATTGACGTACTAGAATGAATGGGTTCAATTATCAGTGTTCACTGATGACATCATTGACTGGCCCTCTAGAGGCGAAATGACGCCAAGCAAAGTGGTCGTTTGTGTCTGCTTCACAGCCCGTTTTATACCCGATATTTAGGGCATTTCGCAGCACATACAAGTTGTTTTTATCGACAGTATTCATTCATAGATCTAAAATTCCATGTACGGAGTGTCAAAAGCCAGACCTCTGCTCCCCTTTAACCAAAATCAGTTGAGATGTCGGGGATTGAACCCGAGGCCTCTCACACGCGAAGCGAGCTCTCTACCACTGAGCTACACCCCCTTGCCGAACGATCTCTTTCAAACAAATTTTCGGTGATTCTCTTTTTGTTTTGTGTGTATTGTAGTTAGTATGATGACGTAACGGGTGAAATTTACTGAAATTGACAATGAATCATATGCAAATGAGCACATACAACGACAATAGACGTTAGAGAACGTTGTCGTGTGTAGTTATCAATGTAGAGGAATAGATTGAAATACGAGAATAATAGTCAATGTAATAAGATTGAATTTCAAATAGACAAGTCTTGATGGGGTATCAAGTCTTCAGTTTTGAGAGGACAGCTGAACAAAAAATCAATAAAACGCGTTTTTCAAGCTTTGCAAATATAAATAAATTCTTGTCTGAAATGAAAGGAAGATATTGTTTTCTAAAGAAGAGAAAATTTGTGTTTTACGGTTGTTTCGGAAGTTGGCACGTCATTTATTTCAGTTTTGATAGGACAGCTGAACAAAAAATCAATAAAACGCGTTTTTCAAGCTTTGCAAATTACAAAAATAAATTCTTGTCTGAAAAGGAGGATATAGTTTTTTAAAGAAGAAATTTGTGTTTTACGGTTGTTTCGGAAGTTGGCACGTCATTTATATGCGCACATAACGTGTACATGACATACAGTGGCAGTGGCGCCTTCCCCCGAAAAATGTTGGAGCGCGTAGTTTCAGAGGGTCGAGATTTCATTTTTTTTTCCGCCTCTGATGATGCGTCGTGACCATCTGTTAAGTAAAGGTTACATTACAGTGTGTAACCTTAATATGGCTGCCTTTATCAAATCCGACTGGTGTAGGTCTCATGTGATGCAGACTTAACATCGAATATTTTAGAAACCACGAATGACAGAGCAGTTCTACGAATGTAATAATTTTTCTGATTAGTGATATTATTTTGACATTTTCAATTACAATTCAATTTTAAACAATGTAAACAAATATGGGTGTGTGGATGGGTAGTGCAGTCGGAGTCTAGTAGTATGAAACCACTAAAGTCCATAAAATAAAACACTCCCAATTCAGTATAAATATGTTGACTTTATGATTTTAGTAACAAGTTATGTAGAAATACAAAGGTCAGTTTTAAAATATATATACATATAGGTCATACAGTTAGATATAAATATTGGTATCGCAATGATTTATCAAGTAAAATATTGCCTTCTTACTCAGAGAATGTCTTACAGGGCTTCAAAAATCGTTTACAAATATGGCTTAGATGCAGAAAACATGAAGTCCTAAAAACACCGACAAATACACACTCAATCATGCAGTAAAACCATGTGTTATAGTAATTAATCGAATGACTTGAATAAGAAATAAAAATCCAAGATAGACCTGACGTGTGCACTGACGACATCGACAGCTTGATGTGGTCAATTTAAGTTATATTACGTAATAGACACGCACACTGACATAATTTTGAATCAAGACATCTTTGTCACGTGGGCACACATAATTGCCTTTAGGGGTTTATCATTCTCAAGGCGAAGGTACAATTGAAAAGAATGTACAGGAAAAATAACAAATATAACAGAAAAAAAACTACACGCATAATCCTTAGGGAAAATATGTCACACATGGTTGAAATAAAAAAATACACCAAATTCATCATGGGGAAAAAAGGAATCAGTACGAAACTGGGTAAAGGAAAGAATATTTTGCACAATTATTCTGCCATCGCCCCCATACGGCATTTCTAATGGCCCGTCCCTTATTTTGCAAAACAACTTGTTACAAAAGATGTCATGCATTGTAGATGACATACGACACCAGAAAAAAAACAAAATAATATTACATTTTTTAGATAAAGTGATCGTCTACGTATTGCGGGGGAGACCAAAAAGGAGACGCAACGCACATGAGGTCAATGCCGGGATCCGATATGAAACGTTGTAGTCATCGATCCGTGTTGCTGCAAACAACTTCCAAATTACACTCCCCAATTTAACCCATTCTTATCTGTACAATACCAGGGAATGTGTTATGATGCGGGTAATTCCCTCTGATGTGACCTCATGTGACCTCCACAGTATAACGCGGTCCGAAATTAACTTTACACGTACACAGTAAACATATATTTCATTAACCTGCTTTGGAGACAATTTAAAACAGTTAAAAAAATAAAAATGTTTAGAATCGAACTTCAGCTTTACATATAGATCAGCTGAATAATTAGTGAAGCCTTAATGCCGCTCTCCGATGAACGTTATCAACGTATGACTTAACAGGGAATTTGCATACCAGTATATTGAGCGGTGACCTTTCCTGACAGAGTTTAAAAAATGAGATGTTACAATGGACACAATATGGCTTAAAATTTAAAAGCTCGACAGGGAGAGACTACTGGCTTGTAAACCAGCGAGTAGATAGCACTGTCTGTTTTATCACCTACCGCCCAGCATAATTGGTAGCGCTCTCAGCACACATGGTGCGCGGTAACATGTGGTATATGCTCGGCTCCTACAATTAATCTCCCACGCGATATTACGCTTCAATGATATGGTTGTTTTGAATTGAAAGCAGCATCGTATTAAAACGCAACGATATAGGGTTTTGTAAGAAACTCGCGGCTCCAGACGCACAAAAATAATAAAAACTTGCATTACATTATGAATATAATATACTGAAGTAGAAAGCGTCATAGTTTATATTCATATATATATACATTAGCACACAGTTAAATACTGCGTTGTGTTGTTTCATTAACACGTGACCAATGCCAGACAACAAATATGGTATCGAGTTGGATTATTAGTCTGTTCAATTGTTAAATATATTGACGATTGTGTTTAATTTAATACGCCATTGGTTTTGGTAACTGGGGGTACACCCGCGTTTAGTCCTTAGTCCAGCAAATGCCTGACATCCCAGTATCGGAAAATCTTTATGTTGTTGTTACCGCTGTCGGAGACTACGATGTAACCTTCGGGCGATATCGAAACACCTTCGGGTCGCTCGATGCGATCTTCTTCGTCGCCGATACACATTTTGTGGACGCCGTCGTTGCCGTACATTACAACGCGATTACACTTGTAGTCAGCCACGAATACGTTGTTGTAAGAATCTACGGCGACGCCACTGATTTCTCGAAAATGTTGCGTACTGCCGATCTGAAATAGGAACTTTCCTTCGGGGTTAAGCACTTGTACACGTCGGCCGTGGTATTCCGCCACCACGACGGCGTCCCGTTGGTTGATGGCGATATAGCATGGGTATCGAAATTCGGAAGGACCGGTGCCATGGCGACCAATTCTCCCTATACATTTTCCGTTTTCATCATAGAGTGCCAAACAGTTGGACATACAATAGGATACGTATATGATGCCTTTACTGTTTATTGCCACGCCCCATGGGCCTTTCAGTCCACTCTCCCCAAATTCTTTGACAAGTTTACCACCCATAGTAACTTTATAGAGTTTTTCTGTGGTGAAATCACTCACTATAAAATGCTTGTTGTCAGGGGTAACGGCCACATCGCCAGGATCGAACCGGTCACGAGAGAAAAGCCTTCTTCCTAGCCCATCGGGACTCCATTTTGCCTTATATTTACAGTCCCATCCAAATATCTGAACGCGGTGGTTACCGGCATCACATATCACAATGTCACTGGCTGATGAAACAGATATTCCATGAGGTCGCCTCAGTCTCCCCAAACGAGTCCCTTTCCTGCCGAACTCGAAAATTAATTCAGCCTTACCCATGTGCTTCGATTTTTTGGCACCCACAGGTGATCCGTTAGCAGATCCGTTAGCAGCGACGTTTTGTAATACTTGTTGAGTTGATGCCACACTAGCAGCGCTCCATGTTCTCCCTCTGATCATACTACGGGGAACAGCAACTGCACTAGATGCCCGACTAGACACGCTTCCGTCGGCAACTCTTTGTTGCTGCATTTGTCGCACCATCTGCTCGGTTAAAACCACTCCTGACTGTTGCGGGCGCACGTCGTGTTGCCCTGACTTCGTGTGCGGGCGCTGTGACTGTTGGTGGTTAACAGGTGGTTTTGCGTGGCCATTTGTTTCGGATGAATCAACCACAGTAATAACTTCCATGGTTTCCTTGTTGCTATGAAGATTCTTTTGTTGTTTCGTCGCCATCTCCTTCTTTTTCACATACATATTTCCGCCGTGACGCCTTTCTTCGCCTGTGTTGTTTATTTGTACCTGCACCTCTATATGCCTAGGTTTTTCTTCCGCCGGAAGTTCAATCTTCTCCATTTCATGCTTTATTGGGCACGGAATAATAACTTCCGGTACAACATCTGGCTTGTTTGCAGCCTCTTCGCTGATTGTTGGAGGAACGATAACACTTTTCTCTTCAATTTCTGTGACTTTGCTGACCCCCGATTCTGTAACAACAACTTTATTTTCGATACTGACTTCGCGGTTTTCAATTTCCGGCACCACAATAACTTTCTCTACATCTTTTGTGACATTTACATTTTCAGATTTTGAAACTGATGTAATGTTATCATTTTTGTTCTCTTTCACTTCGATAATGACTTCTGGAATTTTAACAGTTATATCAATGTCGTCTTTAACGAATACCTCCTCCTTCAAATTCGCTTTTGCAACCATGTCTATTTCCCCATCTTTTTCCTCTTGAATTTCAACTTCCGGTTCCGGCATCGGAACAACTTTCTTTTCTCTATTAACGGCGTTTCCTTCTTTTATTTGTAGAATATTCGTCACATTCTCCATTTTAACCGGATCTTTTTCAATAATAATGACTTCTTTCGCCTTCACTTCGTTATGAGGAGTGTATTTACGTTGTTCAACTTCTTTCTGAACTTCTTTTTTTATCTCCTCCTCCTCGACATGTTTTGCCCGCTCTGTCACAACTGGCAATGCGACTGACGTGTCGATATCCTTTTCATCTCCGTGCCGATTCTCAATCTCTTTGTTTTCCAATTTTTCTTCCCGTACATTTTTTTCCTTGTCATCTGTAACTGTTGCTAACGTTACGTCAACATCCGCACCCAAAACTGTGATATTAACTTCATTATTTCGTACCTCCAACCCAACCTGAGTGCCGTTCACTAACACTGTATCATTCTCTTTTATTTGTGTCTCTTCTTTGGTATCTTTTTTCACAATAACAGCCGACGTAGCCGCCTGAGTACTTTTCTTTTCCTCACGTTTCTTATTTTTCTCCTCTGCCTTTAATTTGGCTCTTTTCGCCTTCTCTTTTGACTTCTCTTCCTTTTCCCTTTCTTTTGCTTTACTTTTATCTACCTCAATTTCCTTCTTTTTCTTGAAACGACTCTCTTTCTTGATTTGCAATTTTTGGTCGTCATTTTTTGCTTGATTGTTGACTTCTGTAACTGTTTCTTCTTTTTGTTCAGTGGTTGGAATAAATATTTCGTCTGGTGAAAATGTACGATATTTTGGTTGGTCATCGACATTCTCGTCACCCTGCATTGAAATACACAAATGCCATTTATTAGATACCATATTATAATATTTGTAATGAATTCTCAATGCATATATCAATAAAAAGCTATATGTCGGATTCTATTGCGGAATCTTATTTTAAGGTAGAATACAACTCGTTGTTGTACATGTGTGCATACAACGGAAATCGATTCAACTCGACAGTTCAGCGTGAGTAACAAACAACCTTTGGTGTTCGCTGATTGATCCAAACGATAAACAGTCTCACAATCCAATTGTCGAACTGCACTGATTTTCGCTGTATTTTAACGCATATATAACAGTGACAATATTTTGTTTCAAAATCTGTCTACAATCATTCGTTTTAGTGTCAGTAGTTTCCAGTAAAATGTGATCTAACGGCCTTGGTTCCAAGAAAGCAGCTGTCGTATGGCTAACTTGAAAACATTGCCGTTGAGGGTAGTATGCTAACCATGGTACATGTATTTGAGTAAATTGTCATAATATTACAATTAATGTCTAATGTTCAAAGTCAACAATACTAATTCATAATCAATAAACAAACAATTGGCACTGACCTGAAATGAGTAAATACGGACGCTGCCTTTGAATTTGAAGTTTTTTAAGAATGCGGATGTAAAATCCTCGTCCCCGGCAACGATTCCGGCATCTGTACTGCTGCTTCCAACTACGACAGTACGACTCGTGACCTTTGACATTTCGTCACTCAGCTGGCCTGTTCCTGAAATGATAAAGAAATGAAGCTGTAAAACGTGTTACGTCATTGTAGCGTCTCTGTGACGTATGAAGACGCTGATATATAGTGCGAATACTCTGTCAGCAAAAACAATACTTGTGTCACGTGTATGCAATGATGACTATTCATGTGTATTATTAAGTAACCATATTTCAAAACGTCAAAACAAAACATTCATTTGCACACATTTAAATGTGTTTGGGGCTCAGGGTGTGTCACGCTATTACAAACATTTGCGCCCACGAGAAAAAACTTTTTAAACAGATGCTGAATATGTACCATGGGAGGCTGTGGGGGAAAATTGCATGAGTGTTTCACCAGTAGTCGCACCTTTTCCATGTTGATAAAATACAAAAATGAATATCTTCTTCAGTAAATTTTGCAAAAAAAAATGTATACCCATTCACGGAATAGACCTCCTTTCTGTCATTTTATTTTGTTCTTATGGCGGACCACTTCTATTACTGAAGCTAAACAGTCACTTTTGAAAATTACTGACTTAAAAAATGTACTCCATCATAATTTTACCTGTTCAAAAAATTACCCTCTGGATATGCATTCATTCTTTTCAGACTATCGATGACCTAAGATGATCTTTCATAAAGTACATCCGTTTCCCGTTCCATGCGATCAATCACAATACGAACCTAATTTACATACTGAAATCCAAGTGTTACGTGAAGCGAATGACAGCATAGCCCACTGACGGCAAGATGTGCAACGGCGTCAATATTCACATGACTGTAATACGGAAGTAATTTGATCGTAATTGCACATGCGCAATATGAGCGTGTATACAAATTGACCACATTAATGATCGACATTTGATATTCCAGGTCATATTTCACATTAAATATAATCGTCTACCGTATATATGAATGAGTAGTAATTACCGCTGAACAAGCTTCCCCATTCGTACACTTGTGTATTTTATTTGCACGTACTCACGTTTTTCATAAATGAAACGAACCATATGATTGAAATTGGTGGTTTTGTAATGTTTAAATAGTATGGACGAGTCACTGCACACGTCCTGTCCAGTCCACACCTTCTTGCGTGTCAGTGAGTCATGGTCGTCAAAACATTAGTAGTCCAGTCACGATTTCACTCATTCAATTCAGAGACTATTTCTCTTTCTTGGGGCATTCGTTTTGTAACTATTGTACAAATGAGTTATACCGATCTCAACTTTAATCATACAACCTACGGGCAACTAAAGAAATAAACACCGCTGAACTAGATGGCTTCATTTAATGTCAGCTACGTGATAGAGTGATCAGACAGCAAATCGACGACTACCGTCACCACATGTGTCCCACAGTTTAGCCACTACGTGTATTTGTTTACTAATGTAAATATCGCTGTGAAATACTTTTTATTCGGTGATTTCACTTTCTCGTTCATTTGCTACATGACATGAGTGCTGATAAAAACTAACGCGCTACGTGAACCGGTGCAGGAAGACTTCCCAACGTAACCCTACCTCTGACCCAAACTTTAATCCGACTCCTACCCTATATTGCTCCCTTAAATTAATTGTATACGCCCCTCTATCCGCCTATAGTTATCTGGAGGGGCATATGCAACTCAATTAGGTGGTGTTAGGGTAAGGGGGTGAATTAGAATTACATGCAAATCCAATAGGTGCTAAATACACTCGGGTATAGTGGGTTTATTGCAAGAATAATTGTTAAACCGTGTTTTACCATTGTCAATTTCATTTTCACATTTAGTCGTGTCTAGAATAATTTCACTCGTACATTCATGGTCAATCGTTGATTTAAATTATTCGAAGAGACGCAAACATTTCAGACTTAAGCGAACAAATGCGTTCCGCCAAATAAATTTGAAAATGTTAAAGACTTCAAATTGTTACCGTCACGTAATTTAATCTGTTTGCAATGAGTGGGGTTTCGAATTCAGATAAAGTTACTATAACGATGTGTCAAATCGCATTCCCATTGTACTGACTTACTTACAAACACAAAGAACGTGGGCCCAATAAAGCCTCGTACTGGTTTCAAAAACTATTCACACAAAAATCGCATTGTATACAGTCATGTAAAAGTACAAGAGCCGGGTTGATAAGGCAGCGTGTATGCGTTATGGACGCTAGGAGCTAAACAAGAGTTGCCATCAACCACAAAGACACCACTATAGGGGACAAACACCTGGTCAAATACGTCAGGAAAATCTTAGACAGTTGAAAAATGAGAAATAACGATCTTATTTTCAATTTAAGTAAACACTGCTTAATTCTGGGTAATGATATTCAACAGGTGGTTTGTAGACAGACACGTTTTTGTATTGCGTTCTTAACATATTGAATTACTTCGTTTTCATTTCTGCATTATACATGATTACGCAATTACTTCTGTTTTGCATAGAATTTAACTCCTGTTTCAGGTATTTGAAGTCCTGTATTTCTCTCATATTACCAGTATATATGCATTGGGAGGTTTAACATCGTCACATGTGACATGGTGATTGTGATTACCCGCTTTCCATAATTAATATTACATCGACAAATTAATCAAAAATACATTGTGACGTAATTAAAGAAACCATAAAAAGAGAGTACTGTAAAATACTTTAATTTCACTTGGAATTACTTTTCGCTGAAGGAATGGTTCAGTTAAAATATAATCTAGAAAATATACCTGTTTTCCTATATTTCACATTTAACTCGTCAAAAATAAGTGAAAATAAACTCCATACAAAACACCCAAAAAGCCTTTTAAGTGAAAATTAATTCCAGCTAAAATAAAGTATTTTAAAGTTACAGTTTTTAAAACGTCACCCATAGAACCTGTTGTACGATATGTGCGTCATGCAAGTTAATTAGGTATGTAAATTGGAATGGGCAACGGAGATGAATGCATTGTGATCTTAATTTAATTTGCATAACTACTAATTTGTTTGTTACCGCGGTCTGACATTGCCGCCCATTAGCAGCAATAATTGTAAGTCCAAATATGCTGCCATCAGTGAAATATCGGTAATATATTGATTAAATCGACAATCAATACTAATCATTATAAAAGAACAATATCCTGATACTATTAGAGTCGTGAATATATACAAATCTGTTCAAATTAGACTTGAATTTGAAAAGATGGTCCAAGTTGTGATGCATTCTTGGTTTCTGTCCGTCATGATGATATTTTACGAGGGGCGATTGTTGGAATGGGAACAAAGTTTAGAGAGCTAACCAAGTGGAAATATGTATATAAAGAGAAAGAATGTTTTAACAATGGCGGTACACATTTAATTGGAGATCTCCGTCAACTCGCGTAGTACAAGGAACGTCGACCTCGTAGGAGAGATTATAACGTGTGTATAGCCTTGTCTTCGCGTCATAATTGTTAGTGACCTAATCTGTACGCCATAAGTGTTAGGTAAAAGTGAATTTGCACGTATCACTCTGTGCTCTGCTTGTTAGACATCGGTAGCTACCGAGAAGTAAAACCGGTAATGCCATAAAATACATGGACAGAAATGGTTATTTGACGCTGTTCACTGGCTATTCGCCGTTCTGTTTGTGACGTGTGTGAACACCTTTATTATATCACATTCTCGTCTTTCCATAGACGAATCGATGTCAAAATTGACACCGATATTTGAAACAGAAACATTTCGCTTTCTTTGCCCTTCTGATGTGTAATTTAAGACAAATATTGACAAAACGAGTACGACGATTACAAAGCGTCAACTGTCCTAATTGCATAAAATAATGAATCGTATATTAAACAGTCCCAAAATAACTTTTATTATGCCGATCGAATAAGTGCATGGTCTGCAATTGACGTTTTAAAAAGAGCGACATACTGACATTTTACAAAACAAAAACCTATTAAGCTCGTTATGACATAATAACCAAATATCCAAAATACGACATCCATTGTAAGTTGGTGAGACTCACAATGGGGTTAAACAAAAATGATTCTACTAACAAGAAGGATCGAAAAGCTGTATACTGCTCTATGGTGTATATATGTAGTACAGACTCAGAATCCTTCGAACAAACTGGGCGTTAATGGCTTCTTACCTTGTCAAGTTATAGTACGTGCCTTTCAGCGTCTTCCTATCGATTGGGCTTCTTCGTATTGTGTCCTCGGCTCAGATAACTATCCCCAAATTGACTAAGGACTTGGTTGTTTCACGACCTTGATCAAAATGTACTCGACAGGAGTTTCTCACTACGCAATGTCCGCGATCTCTAAGGGGTCACCCAGCTTTCTAAAGGCGTAGTCCGTCATGGCTGGCCACAATACCAAAGGTGCTACGAGGTATTATAATGATAATGAGTTCAGTGGAGATGAGAAACAACGAGCGACCACTCTCACTGTTCCTACAACAAAAGCACACGATCCGCGTCTTGATTGTATTGTTGCTTTGAGTGAAAGCAAACAATAGACGACACAAATATATTTTACTAAAAAACAAAGACTTTTTTATTTCTTGAATGATTTAATCAAGACAAATGGCCACTAGAGCTTGATTATGCTAATGAACTAACGTGACGTGACTCGCCTTCGTTATTTCAGTGACAATCCAAGGTAAAGCCGAGGCAGATATGTATCACCATATTTGTCACGGAACTCATCCGAGACAGGTCATTTGATATACCGAGAACAGAAAGTTTTCACCACTTTAAAATTATTTTCACATTTGTGACGTCAGATATAGATGCAGTGTCTTGCATATTATGCATGCACGATTCAATACGGAGTCTGACATGTATACGTGCTCAGATATGCGTTACGTTTAGTGAGCTAATAACCACACAGGAAGTAATTAAAGGTAGTTTACTAGTAAGTGATTTCTCGTGGCTACATATTTGCGTAATTTGATTCCTACGACGTAACCGAGATTATACGGCGAATACGACACAACCATAAATTAATCTTATACTGTAAAATACTTTAGCTGGAATTAATTTTCGTTGAATAGACTTTTTGGGTGTTTTGTATGGTATTTATTTTCATTGATTTTTGACATGTTGAATGTAAAATATAGGAAAAAAAGCTATCTTCGCTGGATTTTATTTTCATTGATTCAATCCTTCAGAGAAAATAGCGAAAACAAAGTATTCCAATTCCACAATATACTAATCTGACAGAAAATATGTGTCTCACAAATTCCGCAAATTCAACAGACTGGCAATATTCCTAATACAGCCATGAATTGATAATTCTTGATGAACAAATTTACTGTTACAATGCTGAAACAAACATATTAATCCCTATCACTCAAATGTAAATGTTGTTTTGATCTGAGAAAACGAATACTGTAAATGCATTAATTATTCGCTGGGTTTCAATATCGCCAATAAGTAAAATCAGATAAATTAAACGCATGTAAATATTACAATAAAGCTTATCTGACAAATTTGTTAATTAAAACATATGCTGGAATATCAAAATAGTGAAATTAAATTTAAATGAAAATAAAACTCATGTAGATATTGATCACGTGATAATAATACGGAACTACGTCATAATAACACAGTAAAGTTGATTGTACTGAAATTGATCAGAATACTTTTTTTTCACTTTTCAACCCCCCCTGGGTTGTTTGTTTTCAACATCAAGTGTACATTGCATAAAGATACGTGGTTTCGCACCCGAAAATAAAATCACATAGATAGAGAGACTGTGATAAAATTAAGGCGTTGTTCGCTGACTTTGTTATTAAATATAC